TCATAACTAATTCATTTTAAATCGGATTTCGGCGTGCCATACCTCGTTCTTTTCAGAAAACTATGAATATTATTTAAAAATTATTTTCAGAAACTGACTTTTACTGTTCTGGCATATTTCTGTTTTATATGATTACTTGATTATTTAAATATTATTTAAATGATTATTATAATAATTATTTTGAAATTAAAAATTATTTTCAAATCATTTTGAAGCCTCGCTAAGGTGGCCAGTGGATCTCCCCTATATGTATTTATTATAAATTGATTTATTTTTAATTACATTGTTTTGCAAAATCTATATATATATAAATATTTTAAAATTATTTTAAAACTACCTATATTATTAAATTCCTAATTTTGGGAGATCCACTCCAATGAAATTTTAAACATAGACCATTCATGTGAATAGCATTCATGGGGGATTAGATTAGTGAATGATTGAGTCTCAATCATTCACTAATCGCTTCGTTAAACGCGCCTACTTTTTTTATCGTACTTTGTATGTGTAGGATGCACGAGCACCTAGTTTAGGCTCTCCCAGATTTAAGGACTTAGTGTGTTTATTTATTTGTGTATTCCCTGTATTATTACCCAAAAGGATAGCTCAAAACTCAAATTTAAACCCATACAACATAGCGACGCCCTAAGGACAATAAATAAGGACCCGTCTAGCAAACTTAGAAAAATTCTACGAGCTATGATAGATCCCTAATTGACATGAAACTTTAACATTTAAACTTAGTGACATAATGAACATTCCAGAAATTTTCATGAATTTTTAGGGCTCTTTAGACCCCTTAATTAACCAACCCTAATTTACCAGTTAAGTAGGACCCGATAACTTCAGAAAATTCTAATAAATCAACTTGAACTCAGAAAATTACCCATAATACCTCAAATTGTACATAATTTAATTGTTAACCTTAGATAATTAGGGCCCCTCAGTTTGACCTCAATCTGACCCTTAATCCAACCTTAATTGAAAATTACATTTTTGCCCTTATTAGTTAATTAAAAATTATTAAAATTCCAAATTTTCCCCAAACACTTGGGAACACCTTCTTAGGTAATTTCTGACCTTTGGGGGTGATTCCAATCAATTTGGAGTGGATTTAGATCAAAATCATAAAATCACCCCTAATTAGGCAGTTTTAATAATTCATTAAATGTCCAAATCTTTGAAAATTCATAACTTTGCATAAAAAACTTCAAATCCAGCAAACTCAAAGCCTAATTACTCTCCTTAAGGCCTTTTATTTACCTAAAATATTAGGAACCCCAAACCTAACCTATTTTTCATAGTGACCTTTTGGACCCCCTCAGCCTAGCACCTAGAACGCGAGACTTTCCAAAATTTGCTAAAATAATTTAAACTTCAAATATCACTACCCTAAGCATTAAAAGGGATCAACAAATTAAATTAACTAAAATTGACCCTAATTCATTAATATTTAAATTTTCATTAAAATTTTCTTTCTTGACCTCCAACAAATTCTAACCTTAGGCAATTTGAACTAATCATCTTACATAGGACCTATCCAAAATCACACAAGACTTACACACACATAGAATTGTTTGCTAAGGCACCACTTCTAGACTTAGGCTAGGCCGGTATTTACTTTTCTGCTGTGTGACAGGTTTTCTGAGATTTCATTGCATGTTGTGAAAATTGCTGCTATGTTTGCTTACTTTTACTGCACTCTGTGGATTGATGAGATTGTGCATTTGATCTACCCCTAAGTTATGAACGATACATTGTTTTTTGCATGTGGTCATGCTCATGCAGCGCTAAATAAAAGGGGGGCAATTGTACCATGATTTATACTTGATACGTCATGCGAAAATTAACTTGATCGGGCACGAATCTCGAGGCAAAAGCTAGTTGGAAACTACAAAAATTAATTTTGGGCGCACCCGAACTAATAAATGAGGGCTAATTTTAAAATCATAAATAATAATTGCTACAGGTGTTTCAGAGACTGCTTAGCCCTCATGAGTAACTAAGAGCATGGTCAAGTATGTCTGTGATGAGCATTTTTTACTTTCCATATAAACTGTTTGTGATATATCAACTGCTTTGGATTTTGATTAGGATAACCTTGCAGGAGAGTCTAGAATTTACTGCTTTTCATTAATGTAATCATTTGTAATAATTGGTGTGAGTTGTGAAAGTGTTTTTTTGACTTTGGATATTCTTATCCAACTCGAATTCCAAAAGAAGAATGCATCCTCAAAGGGGAGAGTCTTCTTTCATATGAAAGATCGAGTTTAGATGGCTTTTAAATATCCAAAGAGAAAAGGTAATATCCCCTTAAAAAGGGGGAATTGTCTCTTCGTTTGAATATTCAAGCCACGACGAATCCAAGGAGTCTAAAGAGGAGAGATCCAAGGAGTCCAAGGATGAGAGATCCAAAGAGACCAAGGAAAGAAAATCCAAAAATGCTGAAGAAACTGAAGATCCAATATCCCACTCAAAGTCATTTGCATCAGTCCTAGGCTTAGAAATCCGGGTTGTTGGCAATGGTGCTCGGCCACTTTATTTTCTGCAGACCCTGTTTTGTAATTAAGGGCAGTTGGCCTATGGACATTTATTAATTAGTTTGATTAATTTGATGTCTTTTATTTCTTATTGTGTCTTTAGGGTTGCATGTGTTTCTTAGTTTATTGGCGACCTGCATACCGATTTTATTTTTGCCTAGACTTCGTTAGGCTCTTTAAGGACTAAAATATCTTCTACTCATAACTAATTTTTAAAATTTTACTAATTAAATAACATAGAAACCTAACGACCTAGGGAATTGCTGGAATCGTCCGGGGTCGCATGTATATTAATGCATTCTTCTTTCTCCTTCTATGAGTAAAGTCTTATGCATACATGATTTTGATACTTCAACTAGCATGCATGGCATTAGAAACTAATTTAAATAAAATTTTAATTGCATTAACTTTAGAAGCATTCACCCAACATAAGTACGAGGCCAATTAAGAAGCTCTCTAGATGTCGGCCTTAACTTCCAAAAACTAAGCCACCCATCTATCTTTCATAAATGACCTGACAGCATGATTTTAAATCGATTAGGTGGTTAGGTGGCTTCCCAATCCAGGCCAGGGTAAGTCTAGGTTTTGCACTGCATTAGTTAGGACACAGGTGTTAGTGTTGTGTAGAACACTAAGCCCAATTTAGATTTAGGATTCAATGCTACTACATTCGGTCTCATAGTATGTCTAAATAGTAGGTGAGTCCCTTCTCTTCATGGACTATAAATCCTATTT